GACCAACATTCCGTTGCTGTAAATCGAAGGTTTGGAGCGAGGGTTCGTGATGCTCGAAACCGCGAGGATAACAATTTGGGAAACATAAAGGTGAATATACCATCGTTTCACGGCAGAAACGATCCTGAAGCTTACATTGAGTGGGAGCGAAAGATGGAGCTGTTGTTTGATTGTCACAATTACTCGGAACACAAGAAGGTGAAGTTGGCAGCGATTGAATTCTCCGATTATGCCATCATTTGGTGGGATCAATTGGTGCTGAATAGGAGGAGAAATAGGGAGAATCCAGTGGCAACCTGGGACGAGATGAAATCCCTAATGAGAAAGCGGTTCGTGCCAAGCTACTACTTCCGGGAGTTGTATCAAAAGCTACAGAATTTGAAGCAAGGAAATCGGAGTGTTGAAGAGTACTTTAAGGAGATGGAAATTTCAATGATCCGAGTAAATATTGAGGAGGATCGGGAGGCTACTATGGCAAGGTTCTTGGCAGGGCTGAATAGAGAGATTGCTAACGTAGTGGAGTTGCAACATTATGTTGAGATGGAGGACATGGTACACATGGCCATCAAGATTGAGAATCAGCTCAAGCGGCGGGGTAACAATCCACGACCAGCCCCTAGTTCGAGTTCATCTTGGAGGCATAATGGTGTTAGCAAAGATGAGAAGCCAGCTATGATTAAACCCAAATTCGAGCCAAAGCAAAACACTACCAGCCATGCAGCCCAAGGTAAAATCGATTCTAATACAACTCGGAATCGTGATATAGAGTGTTTTAAATGCCATGGCAGGGGTCACAAAGCAAACCAATGTCCAAACAAGAGAGTTATGCTGCTGCGTGATGATGGTGGGTTTGAGACTGAAGAAGAGGAGGATTCCACACCACCACAAGAGGATGATGGAGAAGAAGAATATGCAGCACATGGTGAACTTTTGGTTGCAAGGAGAGCTCTAAACGTGCAAGCAAAGGGAGATGAAGAAGCACAGCGAGAAAACATCTTCTACACTAGATGTCATGTTCGAGACAAGGTGTGTAGTATGATCATTGATGGAGGGAGTTGCACCAATGTTGCTAGCACTACGATGGTGGAGAAGTTAGGGCTGCCTACAACCAAACATCCACAACCATATAAGCTGCAATGGCTTAATGATAGTGGAGAATTGAGGGTGAACAAGCAAGTGTTAGTATCATTTCGCATTGGGAGGTACGAAGATGAGGTACTGTGTGATGTTGTTCCGATGCAAGCTGGACACTTGTTACTTGGTCGACCGTGGCAATCTGATCGACGGGCCAAGCATGATGGTTTCACCAACAAGTACTCATTTGCGTTCAACCAAAGAACAATCACTCTAGTTCCTTTAACGCCACAGCAGGTCCATGAGGATCAAGTGAGGTTACAAAAAGAGAGTGATCAAAAGAAAATGAGTGAGAGTGCAAAAGAAAGAGAGAGTGAGGCTGAGAAAAACAAGAGAGAAAATAAAAAAGAGAGTTTGGCCAATGAGAGAAAAGAAGAGGGAAAAACAAGTTTATATGCGAGGGCGAGTGATGTGAAGAGAGCTATGCGTTCGAATCAGCCGATGATTGTACTTATGTACAAGGAGGCCTTTTTGAACACTAACAACGTTAACTCTTCTTTGCCTAGTTCCGTTGTTTCTCTTTTGCAGGACTTTGATGATGTATTCCCAGAGGAGCTACCACCGGGGTTGCCACCAATTCGAGGCATTGAACATCAAATTGACTTTGTGCCAGGAGCTTCTATTCCAAACCGACCAGCCTACCGAAGCAATCCCGAGGAGACTAAGGAGATACAAAGGCAGGTCACGGAGTTGATGGAAAGAGGGCACGTGAGGGAGAGCATGAGTCCGTGTGCTGTTCCGGTACTTTTGGTGCCTAAAGCGGATGGAAAGTGGAGAATGTGTGTCGATTGTCGAGCAATCAACAATATAACGGTAAAGTATCGTCATCCTATTCCACGCTTAGATGATATGTTAGAGGAATTGCATGGTGCTTGTGTGTTTTCAAAAATCGATTTGAAAAGTGGGTATCATCAAATAAGAATGAGAGAGGGTGATGAATGGAAAACTGCTTTCAAAACAAAGTATGGTCTATATGAGTGGTTAGTTATGCCGTTTGGGTTAACTAATGCCCCTAGTACTTTCATGCGATTAATGAACCATGTTTTGCGATCTTTCATTGGTAAATTTGTTGTAGTTTACTTTGATGACATTCTTATCTATAGCAAAAATCTGGATGATCATGTTGTGCATTTGAAATCCGTTTTACATGCGCTTAGGGAAGAGAAGTTGTATGCTAATTTGCAGAAATGTACATTTTGCACGGATAAGCTTGTCTTTCTTGGTTTTGTTGTGAGTGCACAAGGTATTCAGGTTGATGAAGAAAAGGTTCGAGCTATCCAAGAATGGCCAAGTCCGACGAGTGTAGCGAATGTTCGAAGTTTTCATGGCCTTGCTGGTTTCTATAGGAGGTTCGTGAAGGATTTTAGCACAATTGCAGCACCCCTGACCGAGGTGATAAGGAAGAATGTGGTGTTCAAGTGGGGGGACGAGCAAGAGAAAGCATTTCAATTAATTAAGGAGAAGTTAACCAAAGCTCCTTTACTTGCTCTACCAAATTTCGCGAAAACATTCGAGATCGAGTGCGATGCTTCCGGAGTAGGCATAGGCGCTGTTTTGATGCAAGAGGGACGACCGATTGCCTATTTTAGTGAGAAGTTGAGTGGGGCAGCCTTAAACTACCCGACTTATGATAAAGAGTTGTATGCCTTGGTTCGAGCATTAGAGACATGGCAGCATTATCTTTGGCCTAAGGAGTTTGTGATTCACACAGATCATGAATCGTTGAAGCACTTGAAGGGACAACACAAGCTGAACAAGAGGCATGCCCGATGGATGGAATTCATTGAGACATTTCCTTATGTCATCAAATACAAGCAAGGTAAAGAGAACATTGTAGCTGATGCACTGTCTCGAAGGTACACCTTAATCTCTACTCTTAATGTAAAATTACTTGGTTTTGAACAAATTAAGGAGTTGTACATTAAAGATTCTGATTTTGGTACTGTTTATCAAGCATGTGAAAAGGGTGCATTTGATAAGTTCTATAGGCATGAGGGATTCTTGTTTAGGGAAGATAAACTTTGCATTCCTATGTGTTCTATACGTGAATTACTTGTGCTTGAATCGCATGGGGGAGGTCTTATGGGTCACTTTGGTTTCGAAAAGACATTACACATGCTGAAAGAACACTTTTATTGGCCACACATGAAGAGAGATGTTGAGAGAATTTGTGGTAGATGTGTTACATGTCGTCAAGCTAAGTCTCGAGTGCAGCCCCATGGTTTATACACACCATTGCCTATTCCCAATGAACCGTGGGTTGATATTTCTATGGATTTTGTGTTAGGCCTGCCTAGGTCAAAACATGGTAGGGATTCGATCTTTGTTGTCGTTGATAGATTTTCTAAAATGGCACATTTTATACCATGCCACAAAACTGATGATGCGTCGCATGTTGCTGATTTGTTCTTTAAAGAAGTTGTTAGATTGCATGGCATGCCTAGGACAATTGTTTCTGATCGTGATGCTAAGTTCTTAAGTTACTTTTGGAAGACCTTGTGGTGTAAGCTAGGAACAAAATTATTATTTTCTACTACTTGTCACCCACAAACCGATGGTCAAACTGAAGTAGTAAATAGGACTTTGTCTGCCTTGTTGAGGGCAATTATCAAGAAAAACATTAAAACATGGGAAGAGTGTTTACCACATGTTGAGTTTGCATATAATCGAGCTGTTCATTCTGCTACTAAGTTTTCACCGTTTGAAATTGTTTATGGTTTTAATCCTTTAACTCCAATGGATTTAACACCACTACCTTTATCTGAGCGTGTTAACTTGGATGGAAAGAAAAAGGCTGAACTTGTGAAGCAGATTCATGAAAAAGCAAGGCTCAATATGGAGAGGAGAACAGAACAATATGCAAAGCAAGCGAACAAGGGACGTCGCAAGTTGGTTTTTGAACCTGGAGATTGGGTTTGGCTGCACATGAGAAAGGAACGATTTCCAGTACAAAGGCGTTCTAAGTTGCTGCCGAGAGGAGATGGTCCTTTTCAAGTTCTCGAGCGAGTGAATGATAATGCGTACAAGCTGGACTTGCCAGGTGAATATAATGTTAGTACCACCTTCAATGTTGCTGATTTGAGTTATTTTGATGTAGGTGATGATTTGAGGACAAATCCTTTTCAAGAGGAGGGGAATGATGGAGGTCTAACCAACAGTTGGCAAGATGATCCTATCCAAGTCCCAACCGGACCAGTGACGAGGAGCCGAGCTAAGCAATTTAAGGAGAAGCTTGCTGCATTGATCCATAATGTCTTAACTAAGAAAGCTTCATTCAATGGTGATAAACAAGGGTGGATTATGCATATTCAAGTGGCGGAGTCACCGGACAAGTGTGGGAACCATCCGGACTAAAGATCAGTCCAAGTTGAGAAAATAAGAGCAAGAATGATGAAGACCAAAGCTCACCCTACCTTAAATTCGCGGGTTCATCTCTAATCAGCTCATATTAGTGTGTTTATGGGCCTATTCTATTAAGGCCCTCTTTAATTTCGTGGCTCACTTGTTTAGAGCCTTTATTAAGTAGATTTAGGGTTTTATTTTCCTTTCTTGAAGACTATGTTTTGGGGGCTATATATATGCCTTCTTATTCATTGTGAAAGACAGCTTTTGATCATTAATTAAATTGTGAGATTATTCTCTCTAGTTCTTTAGAACTTTTCGAACATATCGGAGGATTCCGTACGTTCACCCGACTTATCAATCAATCTTCCACAATTGATTGTGGCGTCTTCACATACCAAGGTTCTTGTCTCTTTATAGACAACGGGTCGCGGTTCCACCCCCTTTTGATTCCTTCTTTTGGACGGTCCAGCAGTTGATAACCGAAGTATTGTTATCGGGTCTCGTCACATGGTTGGCGTGGTTCATATCAGAAATTCACCTGCTGAATACCGTTTCTTCTCCTTATGATCATGAGCCAGCTTAGCTAATTCATCGGCTACACCATTTGCCTCTCTATAAACATGTTGACCACCCCAAGAGTCTTTAAGAAGCTGCCGAATGCAAGATATAATGTAGTGAATCTCCCATGCCACGGTAGCCTTGTTAAGTATCATGTCTAATACGAGCTTTGAGTCTGATTCAAAAATCAATTCTTCGACTCCTAATTCCTGACATATAATCAACCCATCTAATATAGCTTGAGCTTCTGCGAAAAGAAGAGATCCTTTGCCGTAAAAGTGAGAAAATTCTTGAACCACGTTTCCAGTAGAGATGCAAACCACGCCACCACCTGAACAAAATTCTCCCTTCATCGAGCCGTCAACATTCAGTTTAACCTTGGGAGGGAATGGAGGCTGCCATTTAATCCAGATGCCCTTAAGCATCGTTGAAGTCTTGATTCTGAAGTTGAGATACTGGATGACAATAAGCGCCTCCTTATTGTTAAGTGTATATTTTTACACTTTATCGTATCTTTTTATTTGAGCTTTTGGTGTGTTTTAATGATAATTGGTGCTTAAAAAGTTGATTTATTGTATTTTAGGTACAAATTGAAGAATTGGAAAAGTATGGGGTCAAAACTATAATTTTGGAGAAAATATGGGCCAAAAGTGAAAAAATCAAAATTCTGAAGATGTAAAGCTCGGACCCCCGTCCCAGTTTTAGTGCAAATCGTGGGACCCCCGTCTGAGACTCCGAAGTTGCGCAGTAAAGGAATCCTAATTGCACAAGGAAACTACCTTCTTCCCCAAGTTTCCCCCCCCCCCCCCCTATATAAGACCAAGCCAAGCACACAATTAGGGATCAATCTTGGGACGCAAATTCAAGAGCAAAGAAGATCAACGAAGATTCAAGCATAGTTTTTCTTATTTAATTTATTTATTTTATTTTATTTATCATAAGAATTACGAGTAGCTAAGTCTTTATTTCTAGGATTTTATTTGGAACCCTATGTGGGATTTATGAACCCTATTCTATGATTTTATGCAAGTTTTAATTCCGGATTATTTCTTCTACTTGTTTTATTAAGTGCATGAACTTGATCAACTTATGTGCTTTTATGTTATTGTTAATCGCATGAATCGGAAGATCGGGTTAATAATTAGAACTGTGGTAGAAGAACCTTTGTGGTATTAACATAGGAATATAGTTAATCTCTTAGGTAGCCATTATTGAGATTTGTGCTTAATGCTGTGTTCTAGAATTAATTGCATAGGAATATAGTAATTGAATCTAGAGTATTAGAATCGTAATACACGCGGAAGCGGGTTATGATTATTTTAGCATCTCATGTTAATAATCCGGGTTAATTGATTGCATAATTGAAGGAATTGGGGGAATAATAATCACATAGGGGGAAGAATAAAATCCTAGGCTCGTTTACTCTGATAAATCTTCGTGTTTAATTTGTTGTCTTGCTTTGTCGTTTTAATTTGACTTTTAGTTTAATTTAGTTAATTCTCTCTAAAATTCGACTGTGTAGGGTGGGCTTGATAATAATTGGTAGAATTTAGCGTCCAGGATTAGATAATTAAATATTCCCTGTGGTTCGATATCCGGACTTTTAGTCCACTATATTACTTGTACGATACGTGCACTTGCGTGTAGGTTTTCGCCCAACAAGTTTTTGGCGCCGTTGCCGGGGAATATTTTAATTATTTATTTTATTCTAGCTCTAAATTTGAACAATTTTCACGATTCACCCAAATTAATTTTTTTTTTAATATATTTTTTTTTCTTTGGTTACATGTCAGGTTACAATTTTCGCGCACCTCAAACGGGATACGAATGGCTTCCGTCTGGCGAATACCTCCAAAATACCTATGATATGCCGTTACTTTGCTCAATATGTGGGGGAGATCATTACGCTAACCAATGTTGGTATGCACCGAAGGCGAATAATTTCATAGATGACACCAACGGCGGTTATTGGAACACATACACCAACACGCCACGAGAGCCCACTGTTCAGGAGTGTTATTTGAATTCCGTCCTTGAAGAATTTATGAAATCCACTCAAGCATCTATCCGGAGACTGGAGTTACAGTTGGAAGAATTCAAGCGCCAAAGGTCTCTTGAAAATATTTCAGACAATATCGAGAATGGTTGCAACAAAGAAAGTCCGTCTGAAACTTGTGATGAGAAAAATCCTTTAGACCTAGAAACTAGTGTCGATGAGAGGGAAAAAGAAATTATGAAGACACTTGAAGATGATGAATCAGACAATGAAATCGAGCTCAACTCCAAAGATGTCTCGGAACAAGAGAAGAAGGAGATGGATGTGGTTAGTGCAAATATTCAAATTGAGGATATTATTGTTGTTCATGACGTGGCTTTGAAGGCATCAATAGAGGTTGATGAGAAGGAGAATGTGTTTGAAGTGGAGGTTATACGCGGACGTGAGATTTTTGTATACCAATTTGAGGGAGCGGGTGATGAAGATCCCATCTTGGCTTCGTACCGATTGATTACAACCAAGAAAGATTACAAGCTAAAGTGGACCCTGACATATTGCAATCCTATCCCTGTATCGGTTGCAATTGAAGTGACAAAGCTCATGGATGGATGCGCAATCTACAAGGCTTTGGATTGGACATAACAATTTCAAGAAGCAAAGTCTGGCTGAAGACTTTAAACTTAGCGCTTCTCGGGAGGCAACCCGAGCTTTATTGTTTTTTCGTAGTTTTCTTTAATTTTTCGTTTCGTTTTTATTGTCATAGGCATGCATTCTAATTAGTTTATTTGAATTTTAACTTTTCAGGGTCGAAAACATGACCGGGGAGTCCAAACGGCCGTCCGCCAAAAAAAAAAAAAAAAAAAAAAAAAAAAAAAATTTGCAGCACTGCATTTGAGACGGCCGTCCCAAAATATGCCTATTTTGTGGGACGGCCGTCCCACAACCAGTAAGACAAAAAAAATTCGGACGGCCGTCCGAAAATCAGCACAAAAACCGGGACGGCCGTCCGAACATTTTTAGGGCGTTTTAACTTTAAAAAATTTGATTTTTCCCCCAATTTTTTTCTTAAACCCTCCTCTTTCCTTCTCTCAAACTCCTACACACAAATGGAGGCTAGAGAATCGAACCAAATTCTTCAAAATCTACTCTTTGAAGGCACGCCCACAAGGTGTTCGACAAATTGCCTCAACCCAATTTGGAGGTCGATTCTCATCCAATCCTTACCGAATCCATTCCAAAAGTTCTCCCAAATATGTCATCCAACAAACGAGGCCGCACGAGCGAAGCTTCATCTTCTAAAGGCAAAGGAAAAGGCAAGAAAAGTGCCACCAAAACGACGATTCCTCTTCCAAAGCCGCTCCTCAAGCCCGAGACGACCCCGAAGCCTCAAGCTCCCGTGCCGATCGACGATTCCGAATGAAGATGGAGCGAGAGAGCTTTCCGATGATGAGGAGCATGAGAGAGCTAGGGAGGAGCACCCCGATCACACCGACTCCGAATAAATCAGGTGTTTTCTATCCTTAAACTTTGTGCTAATTTCGTTGAGGGCAACGAAAATTTTAAGTTTGGGGGTGAAAAGCATGTTGTTGTTCTTATTTGTTTTAGTTTGCATGCATTAGGTTTTATTCGTTTTTATTGTTTTTCTCGTTTTTCCGGAATTTTAAAAAAAAAAAAAAAAAAAAAAAAAAAAAAAAAAAAAATTGGCTTTAGTCGAATGCATCGATGATTTATGATGATGAGAGATGATCAATGTTTGATGATGAGATTGATTGTTTTGTGTGAGAAGGATTTGATGTTTGTTTAGCTTTCGATTCAACGGGACTTAGAAGCGAATTATAGCTAGGAATCACATTTTGTGCATTGCTTTGGTTGAATGTTTTGTATTTTAAATTTGGAATTAATTTGTGCTAGATCATGTTATGTTCGGTTTTAAGACTCACCTTAGGAAATTTATGATACGATGTATTGAATAGTGAGTGATTTGGGATGTGATTTGGGCCTTCTTTGAACCGTTTGAGCCTTTCAAGCCGACCTTTTTATCGAAATTATCCTTAGAACCTTGATTTGAGCCTCGGAGAAAAGGTGTTCTTTCTTTTAGCCAATGTGTATAAGGTAGAAAAGTGGAGATTCTTGAAAAATTACCCCTTGGAGTTCGGTCGAAAATTTTTATAAGGTCCTTCTTCTTCTTCGAAAAAAAAAGAAAAAAAAAAGAAAAGGAAAAAAAAAAGAAAAGGAAAAAAAAAAGAAAAGGAAAAAAAAAAGAGATAAATATATATATGTTTCTATATATATATTAAATATTAGAAAAAAAAAAGAAAAAAAAAATAGAGAAAAAGAGAAGAAGAAGAGACTAGAAGGGAGAAATAAGGACTAGTTGTTGAATAATTTTTGAAAACTCGATCCCTTGCCTCAAAAGCAAAAGTGGAGACTTTTGAACTTTTGAGAATCGAGTTTATTAAAGTCCGTAGAGGTGAATTCATTGTTTCAATCGCCTATCTTTCAAATTTTGGCGTAATCACCTAAATTCAAGAAAAATAGCCACATATACACATATTTCCTACCTCGAACCAAAGAGCCTAACAATTGAAAGCCACAAAGCCCCAATGATCCCAATAGCTTAATGTTCGATATTCGTAGAGTAGAATAATTTGGTGAGTATTTGGAGTCAAGCATATGCATGTAAGTATAAATTTTTTCTATCTTTAATTTGCAAATATTGGATGCTTGAAGCAATTGTATGAATTGTGGTTTTTGGTAATGGTGAGTGACTAAGTTTTGTTGAATTTTGAGCTTGCGAATGCCTAAAAATTGTCATTATAATTACATATTCTGAAAACGTGAAGTTGATCATTGATCTATGTAATGAGATGTAGTAGTTGAGTTATTTGTTTATTGGTAGATTTTGCTTGAGGACAAGCAAAAGTTCAAGTTTGGGGGTGTGTTAAGTGTATATTTTTACACTTTATCGTATCTTTTTATTTGAGCTTTTGGTGTGTTTTAATGATAATTGGTGCTTAAAAAGTTGATTTATTGTATTTTAGGTACAAATTGAAGAATTGGAAAAGTATGGGATCAAAACTGTAATTTTGGAGAAAATATGGGCCAAAAGTGAAAAAATCAAAATTCTGAAGATGTAAAGCTCGGACCCCCGTCCCAGTTTTAGTGCAAATCGTGGGACCCCCGTCTGAGACTCCGAAGTTGCGCAGTAAAGGAATCCTAATTGCACAAGGAAACTACCTTCTTCCCCAAGTTTTCCCCCCCTATATAAGACCAAGTCAAGCACACAATTAGGGATCAATCTTGGGACGCAAATTCAAGAGCAAAGAAGATCAACGAAGATTCAAGCATAGTTTTTCTTATTTAATTTATTTATTTTATTTTATTTATCATAAGAATTACGAGTAGCTAAGTCTTTATTTCTAGGATTTT